AGAGGTATAATGTAATGCAATAGCAATTAATAAATATAATTCAATCGTTATAGCAGGGTATGATAAGTAAATTAAAGTATTTGAATTGATATAAGGGAAATTAAATCAAATTTAAGTCTTAAGTGAACATTAATCATTTGTGTCTACATTAAACTTCATGAAAAATTCAGATAATTTTGTATCTGGAAGTGGAAGTGGAGATTGCTCAATTATAATATGGTAGATAAATCAAAATAATTTCTGGACTTGCTAAAAAAAAATTAATTGGGCATTCCAAAAGTATAACTACTTTATTATTAAATAATAATGAAAATCTTATTATTACAGGCAGTCATGATTCATTTATAAAATTTTGGAATAAATAAATGGATGGTTATGTTAATAAACCATTAAAGAGCAAACTAATATTATTTATTCATTAAGTTTAAATGAAATTTAAGATAATTGATATCTTGTTCATCTGATTCATAAATATTAGTAATGGAATATTCTGAAAAGGACTAGATATGGAATGTGATATAAAAGATAAAAGTATTAAGATAAGGATATAGATTGTGTTTTATTAATGATAATTAATTCACATTCTAACCTTGGAATTATGAATAAATGCATATATATGATTTAAATAGTAGTAATAAAGAATTTGTAAAAACCAATGAAATTATTGTAAAGTCTGGCTCAACTAATTGTGATTATTTATTTCCATAATAATACTTAAAATCCAAATGCCTATTGATAAGAATGGTTAGAATATCAATTTAATAAGGAAGAAAGAGAACGGATAGTTTGTAACAGAGTAAATTATTCAATTTGGTCATCATTTAATTTATGGTTAATTAAGTGAAGATGGTGAATATCTGATCACTTGGGATTGTAAATCTAAGGAAATATAAATTAGAAAATGTAAGGAATTATGAATAAGTTAATATATAAAATATTATAATTTTAATCTATTAAAATTCATTCATTTAAAGTTATATTATTTGATTTGAATATTAAATTCAAGTTATCAAAGAGATTGATTTATCTTGTAATAAAAAAGTAAAATTTTGACAAACATTAGATTACTTGACAGAATGTAATAAATAATATTTTTCTTAAAAACACTTAGCAAAACATTTTCAATTAAAGAAATGTTCTTTTTTTTAAAATGTTAAAAATTTGTAAAATCCTGTGATTTTTACTAGAATTGTAAATATGAAAATAAAGCCTTATATGATAATAAGATTATAAAACCATTCTGAAGAATAATATGAGAATTTACATAATTTAGATAATTGCAACTCTTAAAATCTATTTGTTCACCTGAAAATATTGATTAGTTTGTGCCTTGCCAAAAAACAATATCTTCTAACTTCAGTTCAAAATGTTTTGAGCATTTCTTTCAAAAATCACCTTTAGGAAAAAAGCACTTTTCTCTTAATAAGCACAAATAGTATACAAAAATTTATCAAGAATTTTTTAGATTTTGTAATTTAATATGATAAATTTTAATTTTGGTAGAGACTGGGGTCAATTTGTA